TTTGAGCCTATATATCTCACTTCTTTTGAAAGATATCAAAAAGTGGTTAACTAGTAAAATGTTTATCAGGATATCAGCAACATTTTACTAGTTAGCCACTTTTTGATATCTTTCACAGAAAATGAGATATATAGGCTCAAAGTGGACGATCCGGGTGTCGTTCTATTAGAGGTTTTACGGTAACTTATTTTTTGAATACGAGAAAAATCCAATTCCGATTCCGGACAACTGAAAAAAGTTGATCTTTCAGTTTCAATGTTTTTTCTCCAAAATTTCACATTGATATTGACAAGAATATAGCAACCGTATTATTTTCCAGAATTGCCACTGCCGTTGTCTCCGAATTCAACCGAGAGCTCTCCGTAGCCCGAGAACTTTGTGCTCCTTTAAGCCTATCGAAAATTCTGGATTCCAAGAAATTGCTTCCCGAAAAAGATCTGCTCGCCTATAAAAATGTCAAAGATCGTGATGGATTTGTGGCGGATCTATCCGGAGACACGACACCAGCTTTTGCCCATTACCAGTTGAAAATAGAAACTGTACCTGGAAATGGGATTTACGAGATAACCCTGTTTTATGATATGATTCAAAATGAGCTGAAAATGGATTTCGGGCAATTAGTCATGTGAATAAGTACGGTGATAAACCGCACTGTATTATTGATAAGAACTTCTTTTTAGCCACTTTTTGTGTGTGTTTTGATAGGATATGAATGGGTTGATTAACGGGTCTTCTTTGGAATAAATAGTTTTGTATTGATAAACTGTTGAAGAATGAATTACAAGGAACCTGAAACTAAAAAGATAATTGAAAACGGACTATTTCAAAGGGAGTTACAGCTTCTTCCTTTTTGGTGGGAAAGAATGTGGGGGAGGAGGAGAGCGCAGAGAAGCTAGACGTGTCTGCGCCCTCCTCGTTCTACACACTCTCTCATGCTAACTTTAATCGTCTGTAACTCGCTTCCCAGTGAACCAATCTTGCTGAAATTTTGTGTAGATATAGGAAAGTTCATGCTTTACAATTTATCTGTATAAACGTTAATTTTATAAACTAACTCTTTTAGAATTGCAGTTTATTTAATCCAAAAGTCCATCACGGATAATTGACATAAAATAGAGCGAGCAAAGTCTCAGAAAAAACTGAATCATTGAATTAAAAAAACCGAAATTCCCAAATTTGCGATTGAAGTTTGAAATTGCTAAATCAGCGTAAAAAGGTCCTCCAACTTTGAGATAACTTATCTCGGTTACTGTTAAAGATATCAACAAACAATCAACTGATAAATTGTTTATCATATTATCAGAAATACTTTATCAGTTTATGACTTTTTGATATCTTTTACAGGAACTGAGGTAAGTTGGGTTAAAGTTGAAGATGCCTTTCTATTACAATCTCTACGATGATGCAGTAATCATAATGCTAGTTCTAATGAAATATAAAATAATATATTGAAACATAAATAATTTTTTGGATTTGAAAAAAAATCAAATTCTGGACTGAGAAGTGGTGACTTTTGCAGTGCTGGTATCCTCGACTTTCTGGAAAAATTGAATTTTTTCTGTTTGAGAAAACTCATAATTTTTGTAATTTTATCCCAATAATATTAGTTCTGATATACCTGCGATAAAACTCCGAAAACCAATTTTTTGTATTCCCGCCGGATCGTGTGATTCATTGTCATATAGATAAAAGCCGGCGACGCATGGTTCATAGCCCAGCAACATTGGACAAAAATCAGTATTCCAGGTGATAAGGTGATATAGTTTAAGGCGTTGTACACCAGAGCGATACAGGTGTTGAAGAAGCAAATAATGGAGCATTGGATGAAAATCTGAAATTTTATTGGTTTTTGAAAGTTTTTACCCAAAAAAATGTTAAAAAACAAACTAGGATCCCTGTCCCATATCATACAAAAAAGCAAAAAAAGATTCTCCCCGGCCGGGAATTGAACCCGGGTCTCGCATGTGACAGACGCGGATACTCACCACTATACTACCGAGGACACGGGAGAGAAGAAAGGTGGAAGGCGTATAAGAGAGTGCGGGAATGCGGGGTTGCGACGAGAACAAGGGGGCGAAAACAAAAAGAAAAAAAAGTTCCTTACCGATCTGGAAGCCTTGGATTTCTGTCCTTGTGCCAATTTCTTAACCATACAGAAATAAACCGAGAATAATGTGAAAATAGAGACTAAGAATATCCAATTATTCCATGCTTGAGTCGGGTTTCGATATGCTTCATCAGCCTCTGCACTCGGAAACTCTTCACTTAATGGATTTGCAATCCATGCCATGATTACTGAATTATAGCATACTGTAGGTGTGAAAATGTAGATGAATGCACCGTATAGGAAAATGAAAGCGATGGAGGAGTAGGCTAATTTCTTCTCGATTGCATCTGCGTATTCACGGAAGGCAATGGAGATGACACGATTGGCAAAGAGGGATACGGTAGCTGCACATGCCATGCACCAGGATACTGTAATTTTGTAGTTTAATTTTGTGTTTTTGTAGTGTTCAGAAGCTTCTAGAAAACGGACTGTTAGTAGAAGTCTATTGAACTACACTACGATAGAAAGACATCCAAGCCATCAACTTTGAGCTCAATTATCTCAATTTCTATTAGAGATATCGAAATTGTGTCAACTGATAAAATGTTTATCATTATATCATCAATGTTTCATTAATTGACAAGATGTTGATATCTTTCACAGGAATCGAAATAATTGAACACAAATTTTATGGCTTTAGTGTGGTTGTATTAGAGAAGCTATAGAGCTACAGGGACAGCTGGATTACGGTAGCCACAGTGAAGGGTGAAAATGTGTAAGAACTGATCAGTGTACATACTCTCTTCGACTAGCTCGGGAAAAAGTTAAGAAAATTCAATACTTTTTTGATACAGTAATTTTTTTTGCTTTTTTCAATAAATTATTCAGACGATTTTTCTACGAAAATTTGTCTAAATCTTCAAGATTTTTTCTTAAATTTCAAGGTCCAAATAGAAGCTGGAATAATGGTTTTAACATTAGAAAAATATTCTAGAATTTTTTTTAAATTTTACTGTTACAGTAATTTTTCGATAATCTTGAAAATCAACAAGTCAACGTTTTGGATGGAAGTTATTCTGAAATTCCCAGAAAGTTTTGGCAGTTTCGTGTGACAGAGCGTATCCCATTATCATATTTTCACCTTTTCAGTAGTTTTTAAAAAACTTTTCTGTCACAGTAATTTTTTAAATTTAGAACAAACAATTAAAATCTGCAATAACTTTCCAATGTCAACTTCAAGTTTTACAGAAGATATAACCTTAAAGCATTTTTCAAAATTTTGCTGTTACAGTAGTTTTTTGAATTTCAGATAATTTTGAACATCAACAGTGCCAGTATTCCAAAGTTTTTGATTGAAATTTTTTTTGAAAATTTCAGATATTTTTTTGGAAACTTTGTGTCACTGAATTCTTCATGATTCTCACTGTACACGCTCTCCCACAGAACAATTCCGAACTGCAAATTAATTTTTGATCTACAGAAAAAAGTTTGGCGCGATCACAATTGCAGGTCTAAAACCATAATTTCAGAATTTTTTATCTGATTTTGTGGAGTTCCAAGATGATTCAAATGATTTTTTAAAAATTAATTAGTGGTTATAGATTTATGTATGGTCGTTTTCCGGAAGAAAAAATGTCAAAAATGGTCATTTTGAAAGTTTTTTACAGAAAAAATCTATCTCCTCTTTCAGTTTTTGACATTTCTTGGAGTTCTATCAACTAAAAACATTTTGGTGATTTTATGAAAAACATTTTATCAGTTGTCAGATTTTTTTAAATCTTTCACGGTAATTAAGATAATTCAAGTTAAAGGTAATAGTGCGTCTGTAATAGTTAACGCTCACAATCAGCCAAACCAATCAGAAAATATCAGGAACAACTTTTTTATAAAAGTGGTGCAATAGAATTTTTTTGTTTTTTGGGTACTGGTTTTCGGAAATGTGTGGCAAATGAGATGTAATTTTGAAGCACTCTCAATCCTAGACCCCACAAGTTCAACTCCTCGAGGGGCTTGTTTCAAAGAAATTTCGAGAACAGTTTTTTTCATGTCTCCCCACCTTTAAATTCAACTTTTTTCGACTTTCAAGAGCTACGCAGTCCCAATTTTCCGTCTTGACTGTTTTCCGGCTTCTAGACTCAACCCTTGTCAATTGATTCTAATCGAATTATACACCACTTTGTAGATCTGGTCGAGATCTTAGTTTTCCTTTTTAGCTAGATAAAAAATTCCACATTTGAGCAGAGATGGGCCCTTCTATTACAGGTATATGTAGACTTACCCAAAGCAATTCCACCAGCCAAATACGTAAACGTTGGATACATACAAAAAACCGACCCAATAATGAGCAATGGTCCAGTGATCAGACAACTACAAAACGTCGCACTCATATCAATACTGATAAGCACCACAATGATTTTATAGCAGGCATGTTTGATTAAGTTAGTCTTGAATATGATATAGATAATTGGAATGTAAATTAGCTCAATACAAGTTCCAAAAATGACAAGAGGCCAGCCGAGATACGGTCGTTTGATTCCGGTTTCTTCCCATTCTTCAAACGATTTCCATGAGCAATTGTAGTAGGGAATCGCCTCAACACTACCGTACTGGAGGTAACGGTTCATTTTGGGCAAGACTTGGGGAAGTAAACAAAGAAAATTTCAGGTTTTATAGATTCTGAAGACGTCATGGAAGACGTCAATAGACTCTTTTGTTTCTATTCTTTAGGTAGGATTAGGTTGGAGGAGTCTTAGGTTAGCATTAGGTTCTAAGGAATTCTAAAGAATTCTGATTTCTGGGTTTTTTAAGCAAAAAAATATTTTTAAAAGCATTTTATTTTTGTCTTTAGTGAGTCATATACTTCTTCTATTCATTTCTGATGCATCTACCAACAAGTGTGACCAAACGATAAAAATAAGAACCTAATAGATATGTTTTTCCTGAAAATGGGAAAAAAAGGAACAAAGCACAATAGGACCCTAATCCAATATTATACAAAAAAGCAAAAAAGATTTCTCCCCGGCCGGGAATTGAACCCGGGTCTCGCATGTGACAGACGCGGATACTCACCACTATACTACCGAGGACACGAAAGAGGAGATAGGTGGAGGGCGTAAAGGAGAGCGCGGCGAGGTGGGGGAGAACAGGGAGCGAGTATAATGAAACGTTTGAAAAAAAAAATGTTGCCAATTGTTATTCCTGTTTCACATAATTGAAATAAACTTGTCTTTCTGTAGATGGGAATATTTTGAGTAGTTTCATACCAGGATTATTTATAAATTGAAAGAATTAAAAACAAATAGTTTTAAAACAATTATCAAGAGATAATAAGTTTTGCAGTTTCAAATTATTTTTTAACTAATCGAATAAAAGAAAGAAATGATTTGTTCCACAGTCTTACTATGAATCAAAAAACCTTTAAACTTAACATTTAAAAAATTGTAAAATCATGTTTCAAAATGCAGCTAGAATGGTCATATTTGAAAATTCAGATAATTAGCTAACATCCGTCTTTTCCAGAAGCAATAAATATATGATTCAAAACCTTGCCATTTTAGTTTTCTCAAAATTGAAAATATTCTTGATTTCATAAACTTCAAGTTTGAATTTTTGTCTCTTGTAAGGCTTCCATCTTGGTCGGTCGAAAATCGGCGACCGCCGACCGACCAACGACCCAGCAGACCGACAGCCGACCGAGCTGACCGATCGGTCGGCGCGCCGACCGATTTCGTGCCTTTGCGCATAAAAACACGAATTTTTGCGTACGAATCACTTTATTTTACGACAAACGAGGCTTTTAGTGAGTAGTTTGTCGTAAAATACAATGCAGCGTATGCAAACACGTTGACGCGCAAGAGGACAAAACGGTCGGCGCGCCGACCGATCGGTCAGTTCGGTCGGCTGTCGGTCGGCGGGGTCGGTGGTCGGTCGGTCGCCTAAATTTCCCGACCGAATGGAAGCCTTAGTCTCTTGGACTTTTAGTGTGAATAATTTTTTTTCCAAATTCAAAAATTCAATTTTCTCAGTTTCACTCACTTGCTAAACTTTATAAATAGTTTGGTGTTTCTATTGAACAAGTTCGTTTTCCATCGCTGAATATTTTTTGAAATAAGTAATGCCTTGGATTTTTCAAAAATCCAATTTCGTCGAAACAGAATTTCTCTGCTTTACTTATTTCCAAGAAATTTGATTAAAATTTTTTGAAATTCTTGTTTTTACCGTTTCAGCCGCATTTTAATCTTTTTTGCGCCCTTTTTAGTTGATGTTTCTTCACTATCTATTGCATTTTTGAAATTTATGAATTTCTAAATTTTTCAAAATAAACCGATAATCCAAAAAACAAATTTGAAAATTGAGATTCAATGTTTCAGATTCTCCGTAAAAAATTTTTCGCTAAAGTTAATGCAATAATACTAGAAAAACATAAGAAGCCCCTGGACCTATTCAAAAATTAGAAGATTTTCAAATTTTCAAATTTGTAGGTATTTTGAAATTCAGATGATTCCACTATTTAAAGGAGGTCAGACACCAAAAAAAAAGTTTTCCTGATATTTTGCATAGAAAACCCCCATACGGGTTGAACTCATGACAGGCAGCTCAGGGGTACATCGCCGCTACCGGCTGAGCTACGGGGGAGTGAAGGCGCCTGACGACCGATTGTCTACATAAGCGCGGCGCGATTTCGACCCCCGAACTGTCACCCGAAATTTTTGCTGTCTCGCCTCCTTTAAATTAATTCAGAATTTAGTTTTTTTATAATTCAAAAATACATTTTTTCAGTTTCAATTTCTTGATAAATTTTGATAAAATTTGATGTTTCTAATAACGAGTTTGCATCTTCAAGGAATATTCTTCAGAAACGTTTTCGAAATTTCATTTTTTCCCAATTTCTTGGAATTTTCTAGAAAATTCCTAAAGTTCCCGTTTTTTACAGTTTCAGTCACATTCTAACCTTTTCAGCATATTGTAAAAGTCGGTCGACTTGTCTTCTATTGTTCCGAATCACATAGTTTCTGAAATTTCCATTATTTTAAACTTATAGATTCTAGAAACTTCTGCTATCAAAATTAATCAGAATACAAAAAAACCTAAAACTAAAATTCACTGTTTCACTTTCTCCATAACTATTTGTTCGCTAAACCTACGACACTTAGCTTACTACTTTTATAGATTTTCAAGTTTTTCAATATCTCCAAATTCCACAATTTGCCCAGAAGATATATCCATTTCCAAAACTTTGAGCACAAAACTTTATGTCTTCCCCTTTCCTAATTTTGTGACCTGACTCACCGCCGCTTCTCTAAGTCTCTCACTTCCACACACTCTCTCGTTTTGTGTCATATTTTCTCATAGACACAATGTTTTCTGCTGATGTTGTTTACACTAAGTTTCTCCTGGCGACCAATTTTCGTTCTTTGCCTATAAAAAAGGTGGCTAGAGAAGTTTTTTGATCTAAAAATTGTCTGAAAATGGCTCCGGTAGGTACTGAAAATCAAAGAAAACGACTATTCCACTCGAGAAGTTTTGCTCATGAGGTGAGATTTTTAAACTTATAAAATTTATTCCCGTTCCAAAATGTTGCCAATTTCGGGACTTCTCAAATACATTATTCTGGACTTTCTATACAAATTTGCAGGTCCTCGAAGAATTGGATCTTTCTGGAAAAACGATAGCAATCACTGGAACAACATCTGGAATTGGAGTGGATACTGCAAGAGATCTAGTACTAAAAGGAGCCCATATTGTGATGTTAAATCGGAATTCGGAGGAATCTGAGAAGCAGAAAAAACGATTCATTGAGCAGAAACCAAATGCACAGATTGATATCGTCAAGTGTGATTTGAATTCGTTGGATTCCGTTCGGAAAGCTGGAGAAGTCTATTTGGAGAAGAAGTGGTGAGTATTTTTTTTTAAGATATTTATCAAAGAATATCAGTTGTCAAACTAGTGACTTGATTACACAAAGTGTCAGAAACTGTAAAAAATTGTTCACAGTACTAGGGAGCTAGAAAATTCATTTTTGTGTACTTTGTAAAAATTTTGAAAAAAAATACCGTATCAAGAAAGCATTAAATAATCTTGATTTTTTTCTGACCTGATTTGCAATCATGAATAGCTACACTGCAGCAAAACCGTTCTATAGACATTTGTGCGCATTTTTGCGTGTTAGTGTACTAAAAAATGGTGTTTACACTATTGTGACTACCGTACTCCTTTCATGTGCATCTTCTCAATTGGAAGGGCCTGATTGCTAGTGACCGTGTAGATTAGCGGTACAGTAATTCACGAGTTTAACTCTTTAAGACACATTCTCTGACAGAACCAAAAATAGTGCTGTACAGGAAAATTCAAACTTGCTTTTTCTGGCTGATTTCTCATATATTGCATGTTTATGAACTTCTAAGTTATATGAAATGTAGTTTGTCCCAACATGTCCCACACCTGCAAAAATATGGTCGTGGGGTGTCTAAAAAAATTTTTTTTTCAAAAGTGAAATAATGATTAGGTCTTTTTGTAAAACGTTTTTAGGCACTATTTTGAACATTTTTTTGTACTGGCACTATTCTCATATTCTTCCAACTTCCATGGAAAAATTTCAATTTTTTTGCAAAAAGCTATTTTTGGACCAAAAAATGACCGTCCTGAGAAAAATTTTCATTATTTTTGTAGTATTTTCAAAAGCCCCAAAAAAGCGACAAAAATTGCTGCCAAGTCCATTTTCGATGAAAAAAATACGAGCTCCAGAAATGCACGAAGACGATGATCACGGATTCTGAAACTTTGCGAAAATACTACCCATCAAAAATACTGTTTCTAGTAAAAATTTGAACAAAATCGGAGAGGGTCGATTTTGGTGTTTACACTTGGTGTTACAATTATCTTTTATCTCAAAACAGTTTCTAATGTATTTTTTGATGTAAAATCTAAATTTCATATGTTTAATTTTATAAAATAATGGAAATTTTTTTCAGGGCGGTAATTTTTTGGTACAAAAAATAGCTTTTTCGCAAAAAATTGAAATTTTTCCCGGGAAGATCGAAGAATATAAATATAGTGCCAATACAAAAAATGTTCAAAATAGTGCTTAAAAACGTTCTACGATAAGACCTAATCATTATTTCACTTTTGAAAAAAATTTTTTTAACACCCCACGACCATATTTTTGCAGGTCGAGACATACTATATCTCATATACCTTAGAAGTCCTAAAACATGCAATATATGAAAAATCAGCCAGAAAAAACAAGTTTGAATTTTTCTGAACAGTGGATAATAGGCCTGAAGTTGAGTTCTACAGAAAACGCGTCTTAAAGTTGGGGGACATGAGAAAAATAATGTTGTCGAAATTTCGTTTAAATATGCTCCTCGAGGAGTTGAACTTGTCGAGGCGAGTGTTGAAGGTGCGGCGCCGCTACCGACTGAGCTACGCGTGCAAAGAGAAAGCCGCTGCCCGATTGCATACATAAAGGCGAGGGCGACTGCTGTACGCAGAGTGACATTAAGTGTTGTACACCGTTACGGTAGAATGCATACTCTGGCCCCAAAAATCCCCCGTAAAATCTCCTGTCCCCCCACCTTTAAGTGTCTCTTGGTAAAACTTACAAACAATTGGAATATTCAGAGAGTCGAGAACTGTGAAAACTGTAAAACCGGTTTCATGACTCTCATATTAGCTGATTTTTTATTTTCTATTTATTAGGATCATTGCTTCTTTTTTGAGATTGTATATTAAATACGTCTAAAAGTCTTATAACTTTATCTTCTTGATTCTATTTAAAAAACCGTAAAATCTCTAATAGCGTTGCCCCCTGACCACTAATTTTAGATCACCCCAATTTCCTTAGTTACTGTGAAGATACCAATTTCCATAGAGATTTTCCTAAACATTCTATTCAATTCTTTATGTCAACGAATTGGTTTTCTTCCTTCTTTCTAGCTTGAAAATTCACAAAACTTAAGTGTTTCAAGTCTTCCAGAAATAGAAGCAATTCTCAGGTAATGCTCAATAACGATAAAATTGTGGTTAAATTGAAAATTTCGACCAGGTTCCTCTTGTTTCCTTTGAAAGATATCGAAAAGTAATCAACTGACAAAATATTCATAACACTATCACAAATATTTTATCAGTTTACCACTTTTTAATACCTTTTAAAGAAACCAAGAAAAATTGGCTCAAAGATCAACTTACTTACTTGTCTGGTTCCAGGCCCCTTCACGGACTAATCCTAAATGCTGGAGTCATGGGACCCTCGACAAAAATGACATCCGACGGATTTGAGGCACATTTTGGAATTAATCATCTTGCTCATTTTATGGTAAACTTTTCAAACTTTTTTTTCTGTTTTATTTAACTGTTATCATTTGTTGTTAATTCACCAAGTTATTTAATATGGGAACAATTCAAACATCATAACTACATCCGTTTTGAGCTCAATTATCTCGATTCCTTTAAGAGATATCGGAAAATTGTCAACTGATAAAATGTGTGTCAAGATATCACTAACATTTTAAGTTGATATTTCTTGCTGTAGTGGAGTTGTTGAGATAATTGAGGTCAAAGCGCAAGTATACGGTGGCGTTTTAAAAGGGGACATATGATTTGTACTCTTGGACTGTTTCAAATAGTTTATTAAGTTTCCCTTAACCAAAAGAGAAAATTCGTGGTTCTGCCTGATAAATAATTTTCAGCTCCTCCAATATCTTCTGCCAGTTCTCCGCTCGTCTGCACCTTCTCGTTTGGTCATTGTCTCTTCTGCATTGGCAAATCGTTCATGTGTCAAATCCGACCAACCGATTGATAAAAAACTAGAAATCCTCTGTCCAAAAGATGCCTCTAAAATGTATCTCTATCTGTACAACAGCTCAAAAATGTGCAACATGCTCACAGCATTTAAAATTCACCGGAACGAATTTTCCAACGGAATCAGTACTTATTCAGTACATCCTGGCTCTGGAGTACGTACGGACCTTCATAGAGATTCTGCAGTATCCAAAGTCTTTGGGGTTATATCAACTCCATTCACAAAGAATTCGAGTCAAGGAGCAGCGACAAGTGTATACTGTATTGCTCATCCGGAAGTGAAAGAAGTTTCTGGAAGATATTGGGAATCGTGTTGGGATGATGAGAAGTCATTGGATAAGAAAGTGGCTAGAGATGAGCAATTACAGGATGAATTGTGGAAGAAATCAGAGGAATTGATTGAGGATTGGAAGATGAAGAATGAGACCAAAATTTGAAAAGTTTTTCTTGAGAAAAGAGAACTAAATTTCAATGTGATTACAAACTTGTGATTTGTGGTGCAAATAAAAATTATGTAATCTATGTACTGGGTTTTTGGTTTTTTATGTTTTTCATATATATTATTACTGCGGTATTGGTTAAACGCCAAACAGCACAAATTTGTGAACTCTATGAAGCTGTGAATTTTATGGATTTCAATTCAATCGTTAGTGGGAATTCTATAATTTCAAAAAGCCAATTTTATTTGATCTTTGAAAAATGTTTCGAGAGTCCAGTTAACACAAAAAAAAACTCAATCAAGCGGGAAAACGGCAATTTTCGATCTGGCCAACTTCCAAATTTGCCCATCCGCGGTATAATGGACCTGGAAAAAAATTTTGGTCGATTTTTTTCTACCAAAATTACCCTCTCCAACTCATCATTCGAGAAATAATCACCGGAATCTGATTCTTGGAAATTGTCAATTACCAAAGTTCCATTCTCATTCATATGTTCTCTTCCGTCGCTAGCTTTTTTGGAATTCTGAAAACTTCAATTGCGCTAAACTTCAACACAATTTATCTCAGTTCCTGTGACAGATATCAAAATGGTGTCAACTGATAAAATGTTCATTATTTTGCAAGTTGGCAGATGTTTGATATATGTTAGACATCTATTGAACAAACCGTGTTATTGGCTGCAAACATACATTTATGAACTCTATGAAACTGGGAATTTTAAAAGCAACTTTAAAGGGGCTCGATATCTTTCATAGCAACCGAGATAATTAAGCTCAAAGCTCAAAATTTAAAGAAAAAAAATCTCACCGCTGTCATCCAAACATTGCAAGGGGCATCTGATTTTTTATCGATATTTCCACATGGTCTGATAGTTTCTTCGATTCCATTTCTGACCCTTTTCCATTCCTTCACCTCTCGACCAATATCGAGAATTAGGGTTTCACCGATCTGGAATCTTTGTTACGGTTTTAAAATAGTTTTTTTTCTTCTAGAGTTTCTAGGGGTGCTAATTTCAGACGTTGTTGTTTTATGAAAATAAATTATAGTTTCTAAAAATTGTCTGAACTTTACTATTAGAAGGATTCCTAAAGTGTCGCTAAACTTTGAAAAAAGAAAAAAAAAAACAAAAAAGCACAATACGGATCGAACCCCGGGCCTCCCGCTCACTGGGGGACACCACATCCCCGACACCACCTCGCCGACAAACCCTTCATGAAAGGAAGGCGATAAAGTGTGCACCGGTTTCTAGAAAATTCAGGGATTAGCTGTGTGGTTTAAGAAAGTTGAAACCCAAAGTTGAAAAAATTTCCGTTTCGAATGATTTTTTATTAGTTAATTTCAATGTATATCTATTTAACAGGCGTATCTTTAAATTACACAACTTACCTTGACTGGATAAACAGTTAACGCCGGTTCGATTACTTGCAAAATCACAGAAATAATAACAAAATAAAAGACAAATTTGGTCATTTTGAACAGAGAAAATGGATTGAAAATATCGGGTCAACAAGACGGTGGAGATGCGCGGTATCATCATTTTGTTATCAATTCGAAAAAGAGACCAATTAAAAAATCGCTAATTGACACAAAAATAACTGATGAAATGAAGACGAAAAAACCGGTTTTCAGGTCACACGATTTTCCTTTTTTTTTGGCTATTTTAAATTTTCGGTGTGCTTTCAACTCAATAAAAGTTCGAAGTGAGACCTAAAAAAATTGGAAAATTAGAGAAAAAAAATTACTGTCACAGGGATGTGTTGAGTGTTGCGAGAATGTTTATATTTATACCAATATACCTATACCAATGTTTATACCAATATGACATCGATAAACTGTCCTTGAACTTGGAGCCAGGTTAACTCGTTTTCTATAAAAGATATCAAAAAGTGGTCAACTGACAAAACGTTTATCATCATATCAGTAATATTTTGATAGTAGCCAACTTTTTGATATCTTTGACAGGATCCTAGAAAAATAGGCTTGAGCTTAATGTCCCTTTTTATTATTACAACACCAAAAACTTGGGATTCCGCATATTTCGCGTTTTTTCTATTTTTCTAGCTCAAAAACTTCAAAACATTTCAATGTTTTAAGTATTCAAGAAATAATTTCATTTCACAGGAAAATTTTCAATGTAGATGTAGTACATTGTTTGAAAATACATTGTTTGAAAATGAATATTGATTGAGAAATATTAATTTTTACAAAAGTCGAAGCCGGAAATTGGATAAATGACGTTATGGCATTCTGAAAATTTCAAATATAAGCAATTTTTCAATTGGCAGCAAGGCTGTGCAAAGGCCGGCCGCGGCTTCAGAAAAAATATTTGAAGAAGCCGCGGCTAGCCGAGGCCGGCCGTGTGGCTTTTCACGGCCTGTTAAAATAATTGTTTCATGAAAAACGTAGATTTTTTTTTGAAAAATAGGACAAAAAAAAATAAATTCTTCAAAAACTAAATGAATTTTTATTCACGCGTTTTTATAAGAATAGCCGCGGCCAGCCGTTATTTTACACAGCCTTGATTGGCAGCATTAAAAATCTTCCTATTATATAAAACGCTACACGCGTCTGTCTGTCCTGTTGTCAGGCTGTCCGCTTTTGAAAAAATTGAAAAATAAATATAGATTTACGTGACCCTTGAAAAAAATGAAGAGCGGAGAGACGAATCAGTAAAAAAACAAAGTTAAATTGCTCCGAAGGCGCACCAGCCTGCTGGTTAATGATAAAAACCTATAACCTTCATTAAACAGATAAAATCTCATTTTCATTCTTCGAATTGTTTTTCAGTTTTTGATTTATCTCATTTCGTGTAAGAGGTATCGAAAAGTGGTTAACTGGCAAAATGTTGCTGATAATATGATAAACATTTTATCAACTGACCACGTTTTGATATCTTTCAGAACAACCGAGATAAATGGGTTATAAGTTAGTTCAATTAGGGTTTCTAAATCTTAATAGCATTTTTTGGTTTTTTTCAACTTTTCCCATTTCAAAAATTTAAATAAATATTCAATGTTGCAATTATTTAAAAAATATAGATTTTTCATGTCAATTTTAATTTGGTGAATATATTGTCAATTTAAAAAAAAAACATTAATTTTCGCAAAAATAGGAAATCGGAATTTGGAAATAAATAGGAAAAACAACATTATGATAACCTGAAAATATGAAATTTTAAGCCAGTTGGCAGTATTTCAAATTTTTCACAAATACTATTATGAGCTTACTAGGGAAGGTTGTAACTGGGGTATGGGAATTCGATAAGAGACCTATATCATTCGAAAGCTGAGAATGAGACATTTTCAAATCTATATTCAGATTTTGCTGCGGGCTCACCAGTTTCGAGAAAAAAAAAGGTTTGAAATTTGGCTCAAATTTGAGTCCGCCGAGCGCCTCATCTTCCCTCTTTCTTATACGCATTGGGAGAAGGGAGGAAACCAGCGAAGTGTGGTGTAGTGGCGAGGAGGGAAGGGCAATATCTGACAAGCTATAGGTTCGACCCCTCCTCCCCCCAATAGTTTTTTGTGTTTTTTTCTGATCCCTCTGGAAGTCTGAAAATGTTGTATAAGTTTTTTAAATTTTTTTGAAGATTTTTTTTGCCCGCAGCAAAATCTAAATATAGATTTGAAAATATCTCATTCTCAGCTTTCGAATGATATAGGTCTCTTATCGAATCCCCATACCCCAGTTACAACCTTCCCTAGTTAGTGAATCAGACAAAAAAGTTCAATTTTCCGAAAAAAAAGTCTTATGTTTTGAATTTTCAAATTTTGATTTATCTTGCTTCCTGTTTAAAAAATCAAAAAGTTGTCAACTGATGAAATGTTTATCATAAAATGAGTAATATGTTATCAGTTGACGGTTTTTTGATATCCCTCACAGTAACTGAGGAAAATTGAATCAAACTTTGGTCTCCTTTTTTATGGTATCTAAAAGCTTCCAGACCGATTTTCCCAATCTTTCCATTCTGTTAATTATTTTTTGCTTTATTAATGTCCTCTCAATTACAATATTAAAAATTTATCAGTTTCCAGTGTTTTAAACTCGATGAAACTGTGAAATTTTTCTAAAAGAAAGTTGTTTTGTTCCAAATTACAAACTTCTGAACCGCCTTTTTTTGCACTTGGTATTTTTAGAAATCTCCATGGACCCTAAAAATTTGCAAAAAAAAGTTTGGCACATGTTTTTTCCCCATTTTTTTCACAAATCCCTAACTATGCTATTTTTACTTCAATTCCTTTTCACCCCAATTTTCGCGGAATACTCAATGATTGAAGTTTATGGGAAACCACAAACTTTCAAATCATTTAACACAGAATCTAGTTTTTCCTGGATAAAATGCATCAAATTTTGTTGGGAGACTCCAGAATGTGTGGTAATTAGCTAGGGTAATTAAGCGGTTATTAAGTAATAGCTTTCAGTTGGCCTATAATGTAAAAGCAGATAATTGTCAGTGGTTTACTCATTTGAATATCAGCACTGTTAAGCAGACATTGAAAACTAATGGATATGTGGTGGCGTTTAAGGTGAGGCTTGGAAGTTTGGGTTTTATGTCGGTTACTGTAGGAGATATCTAAAAGTCATCAACTAACAAAATATTTTTGATATCTTGATAAACATTTTATCAGTTTACCACTTTTTGGTATCTTTTGAATATAGCGAGATAAATTGGGTAAAAGTTTTAATTTCTAAAAAGTGAATACCCGTCGACCGTTTATCGGAGTGTTTCTGAAATTTGCATTTATTTCTGTAATACTTGAAACATTAAAACTATTCAAATTTTTAAAATAAATAATCGAAAAAATAACAGACTATCCACAATCACTTTATTTTCAACCGTTATAGCAGGGCCCATCAGCTTTAACGTAATTTATGTCGGTTACTGAAAGAGATATCAAAAAGTATTCAACTAACAAAATTTTTTTGATAATTTGATAAATATTTTGTCAGTTGACCACTTTTTGACATCTGTCACAGGAAATGAGATCAATTGGATTTGAGTTTCAGGATCAGTCAAAACAGAGAGAAATTTTTGAATTGAAACATTTTTTTAACATCAAAAATTTATCAAATTTTAGTGACGGACATTTTTTAATTACTTTTTTTCAAACATTTTCAGAAAACCCCTAAAAATCAATTTTTCCCTTTAAAAGTATTTCTGAAAATACATATTTTTCACTGTTTCATGAAACTTGTAATACTATATCGATTTTTATGATTTTACCAGCAAGCTGGTGCGCCTTCGGTGTGATTCAATCTAATTTTTACTGGTTCGTCGTTTCGCTTCTCACTTTTTCATAAAAGTTCACGTGCCTATACGTATTTTTCAAGCTTTTCAAAACCGGACATCGTGACATGAGGACCAACAGACGTTTCTAGCGTTTTATATATAAGGAAGATTATGTATAGGGTAAACGTTGAAAACTCACATGAAACTATTTCATTTGCAACATCTGATAAGCAATTATGCATCGACAGCAAAATTTAATATGTTTTTAATTCTGAAAGTTCCAAACTATAACAAATATTGGAATATTTCTTAAAGAAGACGCGTTTTTAGAAAATTCTTGCTATTACGGATTGAATAGTTGAAAAGGCTCCCAAAATATATTTCTGGATTTTCCGAAACATTGTAATTTTTCAATTTTAGAAAAAATTAAAGTTCTTCTAGTTTCCTGGAAAATGGCAACTTTTTTCTGTTTCATGAAGTTTATGATTCTATGTCGTTGTTAATAATTCTTTAATGCTTTTTGTTTTCACTATCCTATTATTGAATTTTTTCCGAAATCAGAAAAATCAAGTTTTCCTTTTTCTGTTATAAATCCAAAGATTTCGAAATTTTTTGGGAATTTTTATTTTTAGACAAGCCCAATACATGTTTTACTTATCGAACGTTTTCTGATAATTGTTTTTTTAAACATTTAACATAGAAAAATACCGTAATTGGAAGGGTCCATCAATTTTGGCATAATTTATCTCGGCTTCTATGAGTAATACCCAAATGTGGTCAACAGATAGAATATTTCTGATATTATGATTAACATTTTATCAGTTGACAACTTTTTGATATATGTTACAGGAAATAAGATAAATTGCACTAACGTTAAAGAACCAGTTGTGACGTTCTCCAAATTAAAGCAACCTTCTCCAAGTTACTTGATTTTCGTAACGGAATTTGTTTAATTAGTTTTTTCAAACTTTTTTAGAAAACCCCTAAAATCAGCTTTTTTCCTTCAAAATCATAGTTGTAAAATTCCGGGCCGGGCCCGGCCCGGAAGGCCCGGTATCAAAAATCCTGTATTTTTAAGCCAAATTTTGAGCCCTTTATATAATTTTTTTCCAATTTTTTTCGGTTTTTTGAATCTGTTTGATCAAAAAATATCGAAAAAACTCGAAAAATAAATTTGATCGAAAAAATCACATAAGGGTCCCCCTTATGTGTTTTTTGAAATTTTCAAAACTTGTGAAATGACAGGCCCGGCCCGGCTCGTTACAAGGATGTTCAAAAGTATTTCTGAAAATACAAATTTTGTTTGTAGAACTATGCAGACAATGATAATTTTATTAAGTCCCGTTGACCAACAGCTTTAAAGGTGGGGGGAACAGGAGATTTTTCGTAGGATTTTTGTAGCCAGGATATGCACTCTACCGTCACGGTGAACAACGCTTAAAGGTGGGGGGACATGAAAAAAATAATGTTCTCGAAATTCCGTTCAAAGATGCCCCTCGAGGAGTTGAACTTGTGAGGGCGATGATTGAGGGTGCGGCGCCGCTACCGACTGAGCCACGCGGGCAAAGAGAAAGCGCACGCCCGTTTGCATAC